TAAAGAATTTCATAGACGGCTAGAAGTTGATGTATTTAATTTATCATTATTATTATTATTGTTATTATCACTATCACTATAACTATCATTATCATTATCATCATTATTTATCATCATTCAGATTTTTATTATCATTATCATTACTACTATTATCATTATTATTATCATTATTATCATTATTATCATTTTTTTATTATTAGACGTGTATAATAAATATAGGTATATATATGTAATAATAAAGGTGAATAATTCAATTAAATAGATGAGTAGAAGAGTAGAGGAATCGAGTGCGACATAATCCAGTACACCGTCTCAACAACATATACATGGTACGCTCCCAACTGTGTCTATCCCCACACTCATCATATTAAAAATAGTAAGTAATGGCATATAATTGGGATTCTAGATATATAGATAAGGCTGATATATGCGGAGTAATAAAGCAAGGTTTAATTAGAATTGTTAACTAACCATAAATGCGTACCAAAGTAAGATAACGTGTGTTTGTGTGTTAAACCGTTCAGTTCTAAATTCCGCATTCCTGAGTTTACATCTTAACTCAAGCGGAATAGTTCTGATAATGAACTAGGCATGTCTTTTACCACAAATTGTTCATTTCTCGCGCGCTGATTGGATATTTTCTATGATCAATAAGAGGTCAGAAAAAAATGAGCTGATGTCAACGAGCGCGCGCTCTTTCCGTTGGTTTTTAGATCACTAAAGACATTTTTGTGTGATAAAAAACAAATCGTGGTCCCGTATATCGATCCCTTTCCTCCCTCAATGCTGCGAAAGCTGTTGGGCCCAATAACATTCCAAACAAACTACTAAAGGACTTCGCGCCTGAGTTGGCCTCTGTAGTTCAAGGCATTTATAATCAGTCACTGAAGGAGGGTTTCACCCCGTCACTTCTAAAGTCCTTAATCGTCACCCTCGTCCCTGAGATGGCCCCACCCATATCAATGGAGAGCGATCTACGGCCAATCTCGCTCACCTGCACACTAGCCATATTCATGTAGGGATTCATTTGCAATAGATTATTGCCACAACTAGATGCGAAAATCGGCATACGACAGTATACACACAAAGGTCATTCAACAACTGAT